TTATACAATAATATTTTATTAAATATGTATCAAAAGTCACTAAATGCAAAAGAAGAAACAATTCCATCACTTTGTCCAATACTTCCAAGGACTGCAGAATTGTCAGTTTTTCTATTTCAGGATGAAATGTGAAATACATGACACAAAAAGGTCTAAAACTTTGTACTTACAGGAATGTAGACATTCTATTATGGTTGTGGCATCAATGAAGTACCCTCCACAAAGCACACACATCAGGTGGGGATTTAGCTCAGTGATCTTAATTCTGGTCGTTCGATGCATTTCTGCTTGATAAAAGATCCTGCAAGACATAGAAATATTGGCCATAATTCACAGAAAGAGAAACGACATTATCTCCTAGTAACCGTACACTCTGAAATGCTGAGGTGTTCATGAAACTCGTTTAACACTGAACAACTAGACTGTCCCAATGTTTTCTACAGAAGAAATTTACTAATCAGGCTTGAATCAATTACACTGGACCGTTGAAAAAGGTTCCAACTAAAGTTAACTTGTGGTCCCTCAGGTCATTCCAGCAGGATGAAGAAAAGGTCTGGGGTGGGGGCAGGGAGCCGAGAGTATTCGGGTCTCTTTCTTCCATTTGTCTTCCAGCCTAGCAGACCCACGGCTGTTGCCGTCGCCACACAGTCCCCGCAGATATTTACCAACCGCTAGGGCTTGTCCAAGTTTATTGTAAAACTTCCTTATGGATCCTCAGTCGAAAACTCAGGAACATGCCCTGGCTTTCCAAGGGTTCCTGTTGTTTTAGGAGCTTCCAGCAACCAGAACCTGGCACGTTTTTTGCGAAACACAAAGGGAAAACAAATTCTGCTCTATCTGCATCCCTGGCATTTCCGGAGCTGGGTGCTGGGGCCTCAGGAGAAGCACCTCGAGTCGGCCTCGGGCTGGGGCCTGAGCGCGCGGACGCCCGAGGGCCGGGATGCGAGGGGCGGATCCGGCAGCACCGGGGCTCCGGGGCTCCGTCTGCTCCGGATTCGGAACTCGCCTCTGTCGGGGTTTCCATAGCAACTTACACTTACACTTGGCATCCGGCCACAGCTACAACTCCGCAGACCCGGGCCAAGCCGGAGCTTCGGCGGCGGCAGGCGTGCGGGGCGGTCGGTCGGGGCGGCGGCAGCGGTGGCGGCGGGCGCGGGGGAGGGGCCGGCGCGGCGCGGGGGCGGGGCCGGCGCGGGGGCGGGGTGGGGTGCGGGCGCGAGGCGCGGGGGTGGGGCAGCCCCACGAGGCCCGAGGCGCTGGAGAGCAGGATCCCCGCCCTCCACGACCCAGCGCGGTAGCTGGGGGGACCCTGGAGTGGGCAAGTGGTAAAGGAAAATGCAAACCGCACTCCCGGCCATTTCGGACACTCTCGGGGGCCTCTTTCCACTTAGACTCTGTGCGAAGAGCTTCTTTCAGATCTTGACTCTTTCGGTCTCTCCTGTTAGCAATCACTAGATCAAAAATTTCACGAAGGGATCTTTTGAGAATTGCCAACTGTGCACTTAGCCCGAAACCGTCAGGGCTCAAATTGCAGAGATGTTTATTGAACTGAACGTCTTTAAAGCTTTCTCCTTTAATATGAAGTTCTGCTGTAGATTAGATGAGCGATACAAAGTTTTGGAAAGGCTGAAAACTGAAATTTGTTTTACAAGAAGAGGAGAAGGGGGAAAGCCCTGTGTTTTATTTGAGCTATGCTGAAGGGAAGTAAAACTACTTTAATCGGTACAATAGTGACAATATGTAAAGAATCATGTGACCAGCCCATTCCCAACGCTAAATCAACACCTTGTCAACCCAGAGCAACCATAGAAGAGAAAAACAAATGTCATTTTCTCAGCCTAAACTCCATAGAGACCCCCACACGATGAAATGATATTCCCAACAGATTTTGTATGTTATAAAAAGTCACGGTGGGTAACTGTCAGCAACGATACACCAGTGTACAATGAAGGAAGTCAATTACTTCGTGTAGTATTCTTGAAAAATACATTTCTTACTCACACTTCATTTATTTCAGAACCTGAAATAAGACTAAGTTTCTAGACCTGTCTAAAGAACATTCTCAAAGCTGACTTGAATAGAAATCTGGGAGCTTGTAAAACTTCAAGATATATCTGAGGTTTTACTTATTAGGAAATTTTAATGTAGAGTAGGGAAATACCAATCAACATACCTCAATGGCCAAAACTAAAAGCTTTAGAATACTAAAACAGGGTGAAAACAAAACAAAACCTCTTTTATGAACGTGCCTACAGGGGCAGCCAGCGGCTTAAACCATAAAGCTTCAAGTGTGATTCCTCAGTTATCTTTGGGTTACTTGTTTAGAAGAATACTGTCAACATATTGTTGATATAAGTGGGGTTGCAGAGGAGTTGTGGGTGGAGCAGTGTCCTCAAAGAGTAGCAATATTTAAATCCATTGTACTTGGTGATTTAAAACAAGCATTCTTGGTTGCTAAAGAAAACTTTGTGACACCGCAAGACCTTCCCTAGCAAAGTGATACACTTCTATTTGCCCATGAAAGCATACCACAGGAATGCCACCGATCACCGAAGTTTAAGTTTGGGTCTTCAATAAAAGGAGATCCTTTACTTCTCCTGTACTTTACAGAAAACCAACACTAAACACAAATATTAACACAGAACAATCAAACCTCAGTGGAGGGTTATCTACTGATTAGCTTTACACATTTAAGTCACATGTACTTGACCAAAACCCTTTCAAATTCATCTTAAGCCTTAATTCACACAACTCCTCTACCTAAATTCAGAAGAATCTGGCCACAACCCTATTATCATTTATGATGCTAATAAGTATCACTTTGTTACTATATAAAAATCAATCGGTTCTTTGTCTTTTTACACCACTTGAAAGTACTGGCAGCTTAATGAAGACTGAAAACATTTGACATGCTGATAAGGCTTAAGAAACACTTGCACCTTAGAAATGAAAACCTTCTAGGTTCCAACACTGAAACTGCCAGCTAAGCAAGCAAAAATGCACCAAACATACAATGGTAAAAATACTCAATAGTTAAAACTTGGCATTATAGCATACTTAGCTGGGGCTGTCAGTTGGTTGGAGGCCTAACACCAGTAATGTCAAAATGAAGGAAAACAGAAGCAAGTTCATACTATGTTAACAATTGGCTAAACTACTGCAATCTAAGAAATGCAAATGAACTTCAAAACTCCAGTGTGGCTCACAGCCCAACACAATTATGGGTGAAGTAGGGGTTAACTTGGCTCCTAGAGAGAATTTTGCCTATTTGGGCACTTAATGCACATCCAAGAACTTGGTAGAATATTAATGAATTGATTTATCAAGTACAATGAAATGCTTGATTTTCTCACAAAAGTGTTTATGTGTATACACATGTGCACATACAATGACTTTTACATGACTTCAAAAATTGTTACTTGATGTATAACTTGCTAGGTTATTTTAAACACTTGCATTCTGGGGCAGAAATATGGTAATATACTTATATTAAAAATTTATAAATTTGCTCACAAATTCAACCTCCAAGGGATTCTGATTAGTCTACTTAAAATTCACATGTTAACACAGTCTCATAAGTTAGGGTATACTGTCAACAATTTGCATCCTTATGTTTCAAGTGTTTAATATAGCTTACAATGTGTTTCCAGAACTTGGAGGTTAAGGATATAAGCTGAACTACTCATAACATTTCGGGTACCACCAACCTACACTTGGATTTGGAAAAACGTGCCCAGAATTTTGCCTAGTTTAAGGGAAGATGTTAATGCATCCTTCTCTAATACTGAACCGTGACAACTAAACCCATTAAGTCCTTTTATTGCAATTGGAAATGATTAAAGTCTCTCTACTAGTTTACTTCCAATTATTAACTGTAAATCTCTGGGGGAAAAGTTCATGCAATATCGCTGTCAAACTCAAAAGACTGCGTAAATACAGTCAATCACTTTTTTTGTGCATCTCTTCCAAAGTATTTCTTTATATAATCTATGCTGACATTTAGCAAAATCTACGTCATGGTTCTAAGTACATCCATAGTAGAGGTTGTCAGAAAAATTGTAGAGGGAAAGAGCGAGAAGAACAAGAAGCTTGAAAGAAAGGAAACCTGCAAGACTAACGTCCAGTCACCATAATCACTCCAAGAAAAAAAAAAAAAGCTCCAAATTTGAAATGGCCACTTCCCAGTGAGCGTGTCCCAAGTGATGTTTGGATAACTTATTCAAGACTAATAACAAACAACACCTTGAAAACTTTATCATTTTAAACACAAACGCAGGAAACCTTGGAAACAACTGGGAACCGCCATCTTACAAGCCATCCAATTTCACACAAGTGTCCCTCCAACTTAAGTTAATAACATTTTTATTCGGGTTCTCCCCGGTCTAACATCCACCTTGGCGGGACCGCTGCCCTCCACGTAACCCGTCCCTATAAAATGGGGGCGTTCTCTGGTGGTTTAAACCCCTCAAAAGCCCTTTCTTCTGGAGAGGAGGGAAGCCACTTGACCCAAGCAGCTCCCGATTTCAGGAACCCGTCCCCGTTTCATCAAAATCTACCTCTCAACAAAGGGCGCCGTTGCTACGAGAGCCGCAGAGGCTGCAAATAGAAGTGTTCTTCTCGGGGGCCATGTGCGTCGCGAGGGTGAAAAGGGGCGCTGGGGGGAGAAAGGAACTAAAACGTGGGGCCCGCGCGCGGCGCGTCGGGGCTGAGCGGGAGGCGGCTGGAGCGGCGCCGAGCCCGGCTGGCGGCGGCGGCGGCGGCGGCGGCGGCGGCGGCGCGGCGCGGGCTGCGGGTCGGTCCCGGCGCCGCGGGAGTCGGCGGGCGGCGCGGGCGCGTGCTCGCGGGCGCGGGCGGCGCGCGGGGCTGGCGGGCGGCGGCGCGGGGCTCGGTGCCCACGCTGTCAGCGCCCTCCTGGCTGGCGGGGCGAGGCGGAGGGGGGGGGCCGCTCCCAGTCCACCCGCGGCCAGCTCCAGCCCTGCGCGGCCCCCGCCGGCCCCCAGCCCCGGCCCGGGGCGCTTCTCCTCCTACGTACCCGGAAAAAGCAGCCGGCGAGAGGCGATCGAAGCAGGCGGAAAAGACAATGAAAGTTAAAAGTCGTTCAGCAGAAAATGAATGTGAGCCAAGCGGCCATCTTGAAGCGAGCTGCAGACGCCGCTGTCAATGGGCAACGAGCGCAGCCGAGAGGAGCCGCGGCCGCCGTGCTCGGCTCATGCTGCCTCCGGAGCCCGGCCTCCTCCTCCTCCTCCTCCTCCTCCTCCTCCTCCTCCGCTTTGGCCTCCTCCTCCTCCTCCTCCTCCTCCTCCTCCTCTGCCTTGGCGGCCTCCTCCTCCTCCTCCTCGGCCTCCAACGCCTCCTCCTCCTCGGCCTCCTCCTCCTCCTCCACCACCTCCTCCTCCTCCTCCACCTCCTCCTCCTCCTCGGCCGCTGCCTCCTCCCGCTCCGCACTCGGGGGAGGGAGCGCGCGGAGGGGGTGCGATTAGTATTATTCTGCGGGGTTGGGAGGTGTTTCTAATCCGGATCGGGGCTCCCTCGTCAACATCCCCATTGTCTCGCCCCAATCTCTGCCTTTAATACTACAATTATTATTTCATAGTTGCTGTGGGGGAAGGTGGGCGGGTGGGGGGCGCCGTGAGTGTGCGTGCGGAGAGGCGGGGGGGGGGGGGGGGGGGAGGGGAGGAAGGATGAGGAGGGGGGAGGGGAGGGTGGAAAAAAATGCACTGCTGAAGGCAGAGTGGAAACTGACACCGGCTCCAAAATGGCTCAGAGTCCGCCCGCCCCGTCCCCCCGCCCCCCTCCCCGGTCACGTGCTCCCCTCATTCCTTAAGGGCGGCCTGGGAATTAGTGTCGGTGTAGTCGGCCCGTGGCCGCCCCCTCCTCTCGGAGCTCGCAACCCGGCCCTTTTCCCCTTGCTCAGCGCGGCGGCTGCGGCTGCGGCTGGCGAGACATTTCTCCACAACGCCACACGCGCCACCCAGCTCTCGACGCGGGCATCGCTCCCGCCCCGCACGCAGATCAGCCCCCCTTCCCCCACTAATTTCTTTTTTCTAGAACGCCTCTGCGTGCAAAACACAAGCCCACGGGCTCCATCCGAAGTAAGGGCTGGCCACTGTCCCCTCTCGACCCTGCCGCCCCCTCGGGCTGCGCGGCCCAGACTCCGGCGCCGAGGCTCGGAACCTGTGCCGGAGTTGGGCTCGGGAAACAACAGAGCCTGCCCCTGTCTTCCCGCGGTCGCGCCGGCCCCCTTCCTCTCCCGCCAGCAGCCGAGGCGGGGCGCGCACGGGCAGCCGCTTGCTCCTGGCAGGGGCTCCGTGCGGGAGCGGACCGGCCGGGCCTGGAGCCCCGCGGGTGGGGGTCCGGCTGCGGACGAGCCCTCCGCCGCAGGTAACGGGACAGGCCAGCTCCTCTTCGCTGGGCGACCGCTCTCGCTCCCCAAGTCTCCAAGCTGGAGTCTAACAAACCCGGGAGATCGCATCCTTCTCCACTGGGTTTAATTTTAATCCAGGGAAAAGACCACAATCGTTAAGAGTTAACTCTAATCGTTCTGTCTTCAGAGTAATAACTGACATACAAATACATCCAAACACATGCTCAGTTCTTTTGGTGGGAACTTATTTATTCAGAATGTAAATACTGTCTATTTCCTTTTGCAAGACTTGAAAAATGATTAAAATGGATCAATGTACAGTTAATACTAAAGATTCACATACGTAGGCAGAATTTCCCTCTTAAATCTTTCACAAGCATAAAAAAGTGTCAAAATTATTGAGTGGCATAAATCCAAAATGATTTTTTTTTTTCTATTACAGAAAGGTGATATCCAGGTCGCACAAACGATGGTTTGGCCGACAGGACGGCAAGGAGTTCCCGGTCGTCTTCTAGACCCAGACGGATCGCTACCTTGCCCAAGTTAAAATTGGGTTGCTCTTTCCAGGCTTTTCGAAGCATCTTTAAGTTTCCCCACTAAGTCCTAAAAGACGTATACAATACTACATTTTAAAGATAGAACATGGGAAAGAAGTATCCAAGTTCGACAAAGATTCAAGAAAAAAAGTCGGGAGACACTTTATAAACAAGTTTAAAATTCACTAGGATATTAACCTTTGACAGCCTATTAAAAGAAGGTTTTCCTCTAAAACACTTCATCTTCAAATCGGCTACTTGCCCTCAAATTTGAAATAATGATTTATAACCAAATCCTCTTAAAAGGCAAGGTATAACTAAATTAAATTTCTCAAGTTATCTAACAAAGAGTATGCTGTATTCACATTTTCTGAAAGTTTATTGAATGGTTACATTAAAACAACTCTGCAGGAGATGCCTTTTGGAAAATTCAATTTCACCAAAATTTCAAGCAATGATCTTCATCTTTTAAGTGGTAAGAAATAAATTCGTTGTCATGTCCATTAATCAATGCAGTTTTGAATTTCCCCACTCTTACACTGGCAATATAAAGTTTTAGAAATGTATGTATACTTTCCCTTTTATAAAAAGTCATTTAAAACCAGTTTAAAAATCCCATTCTGAAAGTTTATTTCAATTTCTGAAAGCAAAGAATACCTTTTCAAAGCCATGCTCATAATTTTGTTTTGTCCTACTGGATCAAACTTACAATAAATAGAAGGAATCCACACTCAACAATACAGTTCAGAAGTTCATTTTAATTGGAGAGAACAGCAAATATAGATCAACTCTATATTAGTAACATCTTCATTTCAAAAGTGAAGTCTACATTAAAATATTGCTTTTGAAGTCCCCTTCCCATTAAATCCTTAACCAACCTTCATTATCTACTGACAGATGGTTAGATTATTTTTCTTTTGAACTTTCCAAAAGCATAATTCTCAATTAAACATCTATAAAAAAGATAGGCATATTCACAGATCCTAATACTGTACCTGTAATTGTTCCATGTTGCAACTAAAACTAATCTCTGGATGGGATTGGGAATCAGTGTTCTAGAGAAGGAAAAAAAAATGCTGTTTATTTAAATCAAGGAAATTAAAAGTCCATTATACGTTTAATTTTTAGACAGGGCTAATGTATATATACCTCTACATTTAAGGTCACCAAATATGCAGGTCTGTACATCTTATGAAGCTGATTGGTCTAAAACAACATAACACATTTCAGTCTTTAACTCTATATTTTTAAGTTTCCGAAATACCCCTAGAGAACAGTAAACTTTACCTTTATCTGATATTCCAAACGCCAAGAAACATCGGTTATATGAGGGAGAGATCTGCCTATACTGAAAGATACAATGATAATTTTGTATATAATATCTACAGAAAACTTTCAGTATTTTTCTTTACTAAGAATGGTGTCTACCTTCCAGCACCCCCCCCACACACACAAAATTTTAATCCATTCAGAATTTAAAACATTGTTAAATATTTTCAAGTCCTGAATAGTAAAAGAACATTTAAAAAAGTGTCTCAATAAACTTCATCTTTAAAAACATTAGCTTAACTTCAATTGTTTAACTTGCCCTTTGGCCCCCTTTCTTTTGGTCAAAATCCCTGATTTTCTGCCCTGTTTTGTTTCACACCAGCATTCTCCATTCATACCTGCAAGTGAAAAGTGGCTCAACTTGACACCTTATACAGTACCTACCTTCCCAGCAGGGTTTCTAGGGAATCCTTATAATTCTGGAGAGTGGAAAAAGAGAAAAAGAAAACACATCTTTGCAAACAGAATAGGAAAAAAGTCCTGTTAATTTTTAAAAATTGAGGTAAGTAACCTGATATTCAGTGCAAAACAGTTCTATTCGTTCTTTATCAAATTTACAGTCTTCTAGATAAGTGCTAAAGGGGGAAAAAAAGCCAAAGTTTAGTTCCCATTTTTAAAACTAAAATTGGAAAAAGATACTATTTTATAATAAATGGAATTTAAGTAAATCCTATACCTTAGGGTTGATTTATCAGCTCTTTGCTTCCCTGCTTCCAGTATGTAAGTTGCAGCTGCTGCATGACAATGTTTCAAAACCACTGGGTCGATATGTTTCAAGTCTGGGTGGTCTAAAATAAATTGCCAGTGATGCCTGTGATCAGTTTTTTTATAGTCATGTTTCTTAAAGGGATATTTTAATTTGGGTAACACCCCATCCCTCTTAACAAGATAACAAAAAGAATTCCAATGTAAGGACTGGCACTTATAAGTAAATGAGATAAGCAACAAGGTCAATGGCAAAACAATAAAGAGCACGCATCAATAATTCTGCTGTTTCCTGGTCTCAATGACCTTTTATGTTTGCCTTAATATTCTTACTGTTTTTAAAAAACATCATAGTCCCAAAGTAAAAATAACTATACAGTGGTCATTCTCACACGATGGATAAATTCAGAGGAAAATAAGAACATAAATATTTTACATGGTGCAAATTTAAGAATGAATAAACATTCTCTGTAAAGATTGATTAATTATAGGGTAAACAGTTCCATGCACAGTAATACATCAAAGGAGGCAAGGGCACGAGTTCAGAATATTAAAATAATTTTCAAAATATTTTCAGGTTTTGACAGCCATCCTTTTTTTTAGATTACCCAGGTGGTGGTGACTATTTTCGTTTAAAGAACTTCCACTTTCATACTTTTTGTACATGTTTAGTTTATGAAACTACAGAAAAAAACACACAAAAAATTTGAATTGTTGGGATATTTATATTTAAGAAAATTATCTAAAAGCGATCTGTCTTAATAATATATGTCTTCAATCCATACAAACACCGCACTCCACAATCATTGACCACACCACTTAAAAGACACTCGCCTCCTGGTAACTGGTGCGGAACAAAACATAATGCACCCTATCTTAACGTTTTAGGTGTGCAACCTGTGCAAAACATACTGAACTAGAATGTCAGAGTGATCGCAGGAACTTGAGGTATTCTCTAAGTTGGAAACTGTCAACACTATTTGACCTAGAAATTACTTTGGAAACAGACCCTTTAAAACCTTTGCCAGCCTGGCACTGAAAGCTTGAATTGCCAGGGAGTTCTCCTGAGGAAATCAAGTGTCAAACAGCCTTTGCCTCAGACCACGCTGAAAACCTTAGATGTTTAGGCCACAAACAAGACTTAAACACGAGCTTTACAAAGGAACAAAGAGCCTAGGAAGGGGAATCCGGCTAGGAACGTGTAGCGGGCCAGGAACGTGTGCAGGTGCCAACAGGGGCTAGAACAATGCTCAGGGTCCGCTCTGTGTTCCGGCAGAGCCACAACCCCACACTCCGTCCGGAGCGAAGGGCAAAGCCAAAGCCCGAAGACTTCCTCTTCCCGGGGCTTTCCCCCCTCTTGCTCGGTCTCACAGCTCTCCTCCGAGCTCCCCTCCACCCAGGCTGATCCAGCTCAGCGCCTAGCGGCTTACCTAACACAGCCTCGTCCGCCTGGGCGTCCAGCAGGCTCTGGAAAGCCACCCGGAGGAGAAGCGTGAAGGCGCTGGAGTCAAACGAGCCGGGATCGGCCAGCATCTGGAAGCCTTTCTGCACATACTCCGAGAGCTCCATTGTGAGCGCGCTGTGACCTTCGACATGCGCACCACGTGATACGCGCCGCGCGCTCAGCTGATGAGGCCGCGCGTGCACGCGGCTCAGGGCGGCTGGGCGGGCTGCGGGCCTCCCAGACCAGGGCGTCCGCCGCTGGCCGCCTTGCCTTCGCCCCCAGCTGCCCGCTGCCCGCCCCCAGCTGCCCGCTGCCCGCGCCCTGCTGCCTGCTGCCTCTTCCTCTGCGCCAGCCACCGGAGCTGCTGAGCCCGAGCGAGAGGGGCGGCCCCGGGTACTCTGTGGACGCCTGCGGTGCTTTCTCTTCCCCTCTGGTGCTCACCTGGGACTGTCACCAGCGCCTGCGGAGCTCCGCTGCCGCCTTCCCTGAAAGACCCCCTCGGGAGGTGGTGGAAGGTGTCGGGATCCCGCCCCACTTCCTTGAGAACACGCCTTCCCTGCTCTCCGCTCGCTCGCGCGATTGCCTGCGGAAAGCTCCGATTTAAGGCAACTGATGTTTTTTTAAGTTTGGGCGTTTCTTTTATTCAACAGCTTAACCCCCTAGCACGGCCCTTTTGTGAGACTATAGACATCTAATTATGTAATTCTTGTTTACTTTTCCTTTTTCGTTGTCATTTCTGGAGCACGGCAATTGATTCCTTCCTGGGTGGAGTGTGCGTGTGTATACAAATATAATATAGCGCGCGTGTGTATGCAGTGTACTAAAACGATTGAAGAGTTAATAAATTATTCACAAATATACTTGACAGGATTATTAAAATTAGTATATTCCGCTGCAAATAAATACCTTTCTAAAGCAAACATTTTGTGCTACTGTATTCAGTACATCTATGGGTCCATTTTTAATTACTCAGAAAGATTCTTCATATATTTATATCAGAAAGTTATCTTAGTAAAATACAGTTAGGAACAGAAAGAATTTTATTAAAAGTGAATTGCTTTTTTGGATACCCATACCTTTAAAGATTCAAATATTATATAAAGTTTAACTTCCCCTTTATACTTCTACGAAGTTGGAGAACAAGAGTGATTCTTTAAAAACAAACCCATGAGGCAAAGTAGATGACGAATTTTTGATCAAAAGAATTTAAAAGAAAAAGTCAAAATGCAAGTGTTTTGCTAGTGGAGGGAAGGGATAAGGAACAGAAAGGTGTTTTAGTCTTCAGGAGAGATTATTTGAAACAGACTCAACGTAAAAGACTTTTCTGGGCATAATTTAGATGCTTATTTGAAAGGAAATAAAAAGATGTTTCTAATGAATACAGTCAACATTTAACCTTGCACCAATACATAGAGAACACCTAATACTACAATAGGGTGTAAGTGAAATAATTTAGCATCAGTAACAGACTACTCAGTTTTTTGAAGGCTTTGAAAGGCATATGAACTAGCTCTTTATTTTAGTGAGCATAGAGGAACAGTGAAGGATTTAAAAGAGTTTATGAAACAGACACCTATTAATCATGTTCATCTTTTCTTCCCATCTCTCATTGTCATCTAAACTCCTTGTTTCTCATGAGTAGTAAAATATCAGTCCACAAATTTCCAGATATCTGATTTACATAGGGGGATATTTTACAGGTGAAAGTTGTGTAAATGTTAAATAATACTAACAACAGCCAAGCTCATTATATTTATTACACATATTTTTATGACCTTGTGTAACATTGTTAATACTCTAATAAAATTTGAGTTGATAATTGTAATCATTCCATTTGGTGTTTTAAAAAAAGCATTAATACTTGAGCATAGATTTTAATTTTTTTAAGAGGAAAGAAAATACAATGGAATGATTGTGAGTTTGTGGGCATAAAGGTTTGAAAATTCACAAGAATTATTTCCTTAATAGCTGTTATGTTATTCTCTTGTACATACATAATTCCTTTCTTTTATAGGGCATTTGTTTTCTTCCTGAATATATTTATGTTAGGCCCAAGTGATGGATACATTTCCAGCTCACACAAAACTTTTAACCATAATGTTTTATAATGCTAGGAAAGCTGAATTTTTCTATTTTAGATACATTTATTTCAACTTCCTTTGAAGGAGTCACAGGATTCAGTATTTGTTTCAATGCAAATAGAACATGTGTGTCTTTGTCAAATAAACCATTGAAATACATTGAAGTATGATCATTAAAATGGCATGATTAGCCAGCTGTAGCTGCTCTTGGTTACAGCAACAAAATTTTATATTGTTAGAAAAACTATGTATTAACACATTCTAAAGGTGTGAAAAAAAAACTTTAAAATTTGTTCTTTGATTACTGAAAACCACATTGGAGTTTTCACTAGGATTTGAAAAATTCTGTAGGCTTAAAGCTAATAGGCTAAATTTGACCTCAGAGACCCTTTAAAGATAATTATGTAGAGCTGAAAATAAGATAATAGATATTTAAATAACCTCATGTTAATAATACATTTTCCTTCTAAACTGCAAATATTAAGATTGACAATACTGATAAATTTATGTTTTTTTTTAAATCTAGAAATTATTCAAAGAATTAGAATCATTTTAAACAATGTTTCAAGTGGTTTTAAAATACATTGTATCCTTTAAACTGGTTATTTTTATCTATCTATTTATTTATTTATAGAAACCAAATTAATACTGGCTTCTGCACTGCAGTACAATTAAAGTGATCCGGTTGTTTATAGGATCTCTGTGGTCAGCTTTCCCCAGAGGCCTCTCTTGTATTTTTGTTAGTTTTATGAAGTAAAATATTTTCTGGTATTCTTTTAGATTGTGTTAAGTACTTTTGCTTTTTTTGGCAAAGAAAGCTGAAGGAAAGTATTCCTTTTGATTGAAAAGTTCATTGAACATCCATGGGGAGAGGGGGACAGCCAATATTCCTAATGCCCATGAGACATCCAGAAGTTTTAACTGGCATATAAACTATGCGTTCTAGTGGAGTTCTATTTTATTCCTGCCCATGGAGTACCTGCTCATTTTCTAGAGAGAAGTAAGTTAAAAATGCTTAAAAATTACCTATACACAAGAAACTGTCTTCTCCGTGCCCCCCTTATACTGATTCTTTGATGGTTAGTGATCTTAAAGCCTTGAGATAAATATTAATGAAAATAAAATTTAAAGTTAACTTTAAATTTAACTGTTTTAAAGTTATTTTAACCACAAATGAATAGCTGGGGGGAATGCGTAACTGAGTCATACATGACATTAGAGTATAGATCAAAATTATTTCAGTGAGCCCTGGCCAGTTTGGCTCAGCGGTTGGAGCATCGGCCTGCGGTGCAGAGAGACCCAGGTTCGGTTCCCGCTGGGGCCATGTGCCTCGGTTGCAGTTTGTCCCCGGTCCTGGTTGGTCGTGAGGGTGGCAGCCACTCAATGTGTCCCTTCACATCGATGTTTCTCTCTCTCTCTCTTCCTCTCTCTCCCTCCCACTCTATCTGAACAAAAAATGGAAAAGTGTCCTCGGGTGAGGATTAAAAAAAAAAAAAAATTATTTCAGTGAAGTTTATAACATCGATGTACATTCTTTATTATTATTATTATTATTATTATTATTATTATTATTATTATTTTGGTATGTGCCCCTAAGTGGAAACAGAACCCGGGACTCTCTGGTCTGCAGGCCGATGCTCCAACCGCTGAACAAAACTGCCAGGGCTTATTAAATATTTTAAATTGGTAAGGCAAAGATTGGGACTTGGGTCTGAATGATCAAGTGTTTGCACATTCATGATCACAGAATACAGTGATTTCAGATGAGTTTTATGTCACATACGTTGTCAAACAGACCACACTGAGTATTCAGTGGGGACAACAAAGCTTTTATTTTCCAATTAAATGTGTAACCCAATTCCTAATAATTTCTAAATGGTCACTGCTATAATAATTTACATAGGCAAATAGAGCCTTTTACTCTGTCATATATTATGGACAATCTTGTATATGTGGACTTTTAGATAAAACTCAAATTCATTTAAATGAAATTAGTGTCTTAATATGTGAGGAAAGTGAAATGCTAGTAACAAAATGCTAGTAACATTCAAGAAACTGGAACCAAGGAATGAACATCAATGATACAGTGTTATCTAAAACACTTAGCATATTCATGCTTGTTATTTGGCATGAGTATTTGGATTCACCCCCCCACACCCAAAATTTACATTCAAAACATGTAGACTACACAGAACAATTACTATTTCAGTAATATTTTTATAAGTTAATACCATTTAAAATATTATTTTTAGATAGTTGTATTGAGTAAATATAAGACTTTAAAATGTGATAAAACAATAAATAAAATTAAGTATTTTAAATCTAAGCTTCAACAGGTTAAATTATCCATACTACTAAAAAACTGAGGTTTTTCTTTTTTGTTGTTAATCCTCACCCAAGGATATTTTTCCATTGATTTTTAGATTGAGTGGAAGGAAGGGAGGGAGGGGGGAGGGAGAAACATCAGTGTGAGAGAGAGAGAAATATCCTTTGGTTGCCTCCCCCTTCAAGGTGGCGGATTGAACCTGCAACCCAGGTACATACCCTTGACCAAGGATTGAACCCAGGACCCTCTGGTCCACAGGCCGATGCTCTGACCACTGAGCAAAACCAGCCAGGGTAAAAAACTGAGTTTCTTTAAAAGATAAGTCTGAAAGCATTTCCTGAAGTTAGGAAACTTGAATTTTGTTAAACTTTGCAAACAAGAAATTCTATAGTCAAAATATTGTCCAAAAATAATACTTTTGAATTTGTAAAGTGAAATTTGGTAGTTATAAAGTGTCATGCAATGATTCTGCTAGCTACTTAGGTCAGAATAAGATGATTCTATCATTAAAGCTATGAACATAATAATAAATTGTAATTTTTAATATAAAATCTTTGGATCTAACCAGTCTATAGTTTTGAAAAGATTTTGCGCATATTAGAGAAATCATGTCTGCTCTTTAGGGCTTCTTTTAGGAAGTTTAATCCCTTATTTTAAAGCAAAGCAACTAATATTACATGGGAATATCTGAGTCATACAGACTAAAATTGTGAGGTCTTCAGCTAAGAAGAAATGAGGAATTAA